CTCGGGTCTTCCAAGTGGGCTTCCGTCCTCCTACCTGGTTCCCATAATTTACACGGCCTAAGGACTTATCTTGGGTTCACACTGCCCGGTACTGGTTTGTGTTCCTTTGTACAACGTTGCACGAATGCCTAGACCTTCCAGTCAAGCTGGTATGACACAGGTTACAGGTATCCTATCCCAACCAATTACTGAAGACAGTTAGCTGTAATACAGAAAGAATTGCAAATTTTCGCCGTCACTAGAATTTGAATTCTAGACCTGCCACTTGGAGGTTAACAACCTATCCACTTCACTAGGTCGCCACATCCCCATATATAATGCAATTATTTAATTTAATAATATAAATTAGTTATAATTTTAGAAATAATGTTGAGTATAACAATGTTAAAAGTATGTTACAATAACTTATTTATAAGATTATTTAGTAATTAAGCAAATAAACAAATTGTTAATAAAAATAAGAGTTAATTTAATAATATAAATAGCAATTAGATAAATATGAATACAAGTGATTCTCAATATAAGAAACCTTTGATATAAAAAAGTTAGCTTATAAGAAAGTTTTTAACTGACTCCGATTTAAGTTTAATAAATTTCACTTAATATAAGAAAATTTATTAAGAATCTCTTAATATAAGAATATAAGAAAGTTTGGGCTGCCCCTTTATTATTAAATTAGTTACGATATAAGAAATTATGTGATGTATATCCAATTAAAATTCAAGATTATATAACACAAATATATATATAACACAAAATTAATTTAAAAAAAATCCTGCATATGTGCATATAGGTGAAAAAATACTGTAATCAATAATCATATTATGAAACCAGTTCAAATGCATGTATATGCCACATGATCGAACAAAATTAACAGCCCATATATATCAAAACAGAAATAATAGAAGCACTGTGATAAGGTTTTAGAATGGCGATATGAAAAACAATCAAATAACAGAATATGGTAGAAAAAACAAAAAAAAAAGTAAAATACATTATATTAGTAATGTAAATAGAGTTAAAATAGGTAAACAAGATAAGATACTTATCCTATAATAGTTTCAAAACAATCAATAGAGGAATAAATGGTGGAAAAAGTAATAAAGAGAACCTAAAAATAGACAAGTTAGATGGCAGTTACAAACATATATAAAAGCATTGACAAAATTATTAAATAAACTTATCTTTTATAGCCCCAATTTTTTAGAAAGATCATTCATCCTTATAATAGTAGTTGTTAATTGTTAAGTTGTAGAGTTGTAGTTAGTAGTAGACCCAGTTAAGTAAAACTATAATGTATAGAATTTAGTAAACATATTAGCCAAATTATTTATACCTTAAATAAAGCCACTCTTTTATGTTTAATGCTATTATTACTCTTGTTATTTTGTAATGACTATAAAATCTGTTTACCAACCTTATAAAATAAAAGAAAAAAAGAGATACAACCCAAAAAAAACAAAAGAAGTCTTATTAGTGTCAAGCCTGAAAGAATTAAATACAAAAAGATCAATTATAAAAAAGATACTTACCTAAGCTGATAATATTGCAAGAGATTAGAAGAAAGAAGACAAGTAGTTAGAACCCAGGAAAAAGCCATTGAGAGACTTAAAAATCAAAAGCATAATAGAAATAAAACTCAATCCTAATATAAAAAAGAAAAGAAATAAAAATTTTGTTAGAAAGAATATTTAAGAGAAAAAATAGAAGAAAGGAGCAAAACTAAAGAATACTGTACCTGAACAAATAGTAGAAACTATAAAAAGTGTCATTTGGATAATACCTTTAATAGTCATATTGATAACCTACATATTACAGTAAATAGACAATTAACTAATTAAATTGATCACAAATAATTACATCATAACTTACAATGCATAAAAATGCAATGACAACTTATTACTTAAGTTAGCTATATAAAAGCAAATCTTATTTTATATTTTTTTTTCTTTTTAAGATTAGTACTTTAACAAAAGCTGGTTCTATACAGTGTTATTTATGCTACTAAGTTTTTATAATTACATATTAGCCTTTGGTTAAAATAGTGGAAACTAGTAACTCTTCAAGTAGCCAGCTATTAGTTAGGTCTTCAGTTAATAGAGTTGAAAAAAGAATGTTAAATAAGACAAACACCAATAAGGTTAAGAGACAAACTATTGAAACTGAAAAGACTAAGCAAATTATATTAACAAAAGTCCAAAAAGCTAAACTTTGTTATCTGCATAAAAGTGGATATATTCAGCTTTCACTTGCAAACTATTTTAAAATTGGTGAATCAACAGTTTCAAAAATACTTAAACAAGAAGATTACTGGCTTTCAATTGATCCAAATTTATCACAAGCAAAGTCTAAATAAGATCGCTCAGCTAAATACCTCCAGCTTGAAGAAGTCTTAAGTTTATGGATTTCAAAAGCTAAAGCTTATTACCAAACAATTACAGAAGCAATTATTCAACATAAAGCTTTTCAGTTTGCTAAAAGGTTACAAATTAGTAATTTTGGAGGATCTGAAAGGTGGCTTGCGAATTTTAAAAAAAGATTTCATATTAAAGAGTATACAAGGCAAGGAGAAGCAGCAAGTACTCTATTAAATGAACTTCCACAATACTGTGATGAACTTAAAGATATTATTAAAAACTATGATCTATGAGATGTGTATAATTGTGATGAAACTGGCTTGTATTGGCACTTAGAACTTGAAAAAACTCTTGCAAGTGGGTCTGTTTATGGAAAAAAGAAGGCAAAAGATCATGCTACAATTCTAATTACATGTAATAGTACTAGTGATGATAAATTACCTTTATTCTTTATCTATAAATACCAAAACCCCTGTGCTATTCGATGCATTAATAAGGCAAAATTGCCTGTTTATTACTATTGAAATTCTTCTTCCTGAATGCAGCTTTCAATTTTTAACCATTATATTTGAATGCTTAATAAACAAATGAAACAAGCAGGAAGAAAAATTCTTTTATTAATGAATTAAGCTTTATCACATACTCTTAAAGAAGGATTTGTTCCTTCTAATATTAAAATATATTATCTTTCTACTAATACAACAACACATTTGCAACCTTGTGATACTGGTATTATTTGGAGTTTTAAGGCACACTACCATAAACTATTTTGTGAAAACCGAATTGCAGCTTATGAAGAAGCAATTGAAACAGGTGAAGATACTTTGATTTTTAATATTAAAGATGCTATTGATCTTTCTGCTGAAGCATAGAAAAAAGTTACCAATAATACGATTCATAATTGTTGGATTAAAACTAAAATTCTTCCAGATAATTATTTTTTTTTGAATGATCCTTTACTAACCACCCAGGAACTAATAGAGGATTTTGAATTAGTTGATCTTACCTTACCAAGATCACAAGAATTAGAGGGTATAAATCATATTGATCTTGTAACAGAAATTCAGTCTCTGATCAGTCAGCTTCCTGCAACTAACCCAATGCAAGCAGAAAATTTTATTGAGGCTGATCATAGTATTGAAATGGATATAATTCCTAGTGATAATGAAATAATTACTGCTATACTTGATTATGATTGCAATAAAGATAATGAAAATGAACCTAAAGTTCATATTTTTTATAAGGAAGTTATTATAAGCATTTATAATATTTTGCATTTTATTGATCAAGAAGACGGATTTAAAGTAGATGGATCTTTTGTTTAAAAACTAAATAGGTTTAAAAAAGATGTAGTTAGAGATAGCATTGCTAAAAAAAGACAAATGACTATAGATTTATATATGCAAAATTAGTAATTTAAAACAGAGAACTTAATGCTTCAATTATAATAATTTGGTTTATCAATTTAAAATAAATAAATTTAAAGTTTGCTTATTTAAAAATTAAATAAGTAGAATTTGTTTTTTAAACTTGAAAGATTTCTGTAAAATTAATATATATAATCAACCTCTCTAAGTGCAACTTATTAGAACTGGGTTTTTAGCAACATTCACTTAGAAAACAATTAAAATAAATTGCATTTACAGAAACAAATACCATATAGCACTGCTTATAGTATCCTCTGAAAATAATATCCTACCACATAAGATACTCTTCCTTTCTATCAATGAAATCACTAGATCCATGAATAGTACTCAGTACTAATCAATTTTAAAAGTCAAGGTTTTGAATAAGACCTCAGGTACTATAAGCAGTACTATACGATATATATACCAGATATATACTTAGGCCTAAAGTTAAAGGTGTATTATGAGAGAAGTTGCATTTAAAAAGTTTTAACTGTAATTAGTTTTGTTTGCTAAAAAATAGTTGACTTATTATATATAAAAGTAGCACTACTTGAATGTGTGCTAGGTTTGTAACACAACAAAAATTCTTTAACATTCATTTATATTAGGATTAGAGTCAAGGTTAAAAGATAGTTTATAGTAAAATTGTCTAATAGAACCTTTTTTGTTAGATTATTAAAGGTAATTTTTTATGCTGATTTTCAAAAAATAAGCAATTTTTAACAAATAGATATTTGATTTAAATTTTCTTGATTATGATACATTGTGCCTGATCTTGAAATCTAATTCGTAGTTCAGACAATCTGTGCTACAAACCTAGCATATATTCAAGTAGTACATAAAAGTAAGTATTTGATAATTGTCTAATATAGATAAAAAAATTAATACTTTGCTATTAAATTACATATTAAAACAAATACAATTAACTACTAATATAATGAATGCCCTTTATACCAGATTAAATGGTTTAGTAGATTGCTAAATTTTTAAAGCAGTTATAATAAACTTATGTTCTATATAGTAAAAAGGTTCAATAGTTTACTTAAGTAAATCAACTGGCAACCAATTATGATATTATTCTCATAATAATTAAAAAATATAATTTAAAGAACTCCATAACAGAATTTTTATTTGTCAAACTATTTTATTATATAAATATAACAATTATGCTATATAATAAAATCTTTAGGCCAGTTCAATTTTTTGATTATTAATATGTAGTTGTAAATAAATAAATAAATAAAATAATTTTAAATTTTTATTAGTGATATTATTCTTGATAATCAAACCTATAATAATTAATAAATATAAATAAATTATATATATTGTATTTTAATTTATAAATAGTTATATTTAGAAATATTTGATATAAGAAAGTTTTTATTAAAACATATAACCTTTCTTATAATAAGAGTCTTTTGTTATAAGAAACTCTCGATATAAGAAAGATTTTGATTGGACCCAAGAACCTTCTTATATTGAGAGTCACTTGTATAAAATATATATATTAAAAAAAAATTGCAAGTATAACTATAAATATTATCTGAATGTATACAAGAAATTTATCTGTAATTATAGATTTTATAACAAATATTCTTTTTGTTATATGTCATATAACATATATATTACACTGCTTTACAGTATTTTTACAATAATTTGAAGTATAAAACAATATCTTTACCAAATCTATTTAATATTAAACAAATTAAAATTAAAAAAAATAATTCTTAAAATTATATACATATCATTAAAAAGCTATTTTTAATCTTTCACCATGTTCTGTATCCTGATGGGTCTAACAAATTACAATATAAAAATCTTCTATAGGACAAACTTATGTATCATAATTAAGTTTTCAATTTTAATTAATTTGAACATATGAAGAACCTAATATTTAAAGTTCACATTTTCATAATTACTTTTAGGATTTCATAGAAGTATTATGTAATAGTTGTATTTTGAATGATTCATTATATGTTATTCATTTTTCTGATTATTCATATAATCGTTAACAATTTGTTCGAATGTTTCAGGTAATAAAAATAAAAAAACTATTAAATTATTGGAAGCCATATTAATATTGATGTACAAAAGATAAAATAATAAAAATTACTAAAATCTGTTTATTTAAAATCTATTCTTTTTAAAAGAAACTTTATTACATATCGCATAAAATTTTATTACGTATTACAGTATATAAAAACTTTATTACATATCGTATCGTATGATTAAATTTGAGCGCAGTAAAAAATCAAACATTTTTTTATATAATTAAAAAAAGATCATATAGTTGAATTTAAATATATTAATGTCAAAACCCAGAGGAATCGTAAAGTGATATGCAACATTGGGGCTTCCGATATACTAATTAATCAAAATCATATGAGATGCAATAATAATAATAATACTATTAAATTTTGTACATAAAATCTGATCTGCAAACCTTTACTAACGAAAAACTAGTATCCAAAAAATTGATTTACCTCATATACAAATGATTTTTTTCTGTTAATTTTTGTAGTAAATTATTTACATAGTACAACAAAAAAAGTTATGGTTTAAAAATTTTGATTAATTAAGCATTTTTACTATCATATTAGCAAAAATTAATGAAAGACTAGTAAATATTAAAAAAATTAATTCATCTTGTGCACAAACTATTCTTTTCCGACAATTATTATAGTAAACAATTCATATAGTATATCAAAAAAAATGTATAGTTTGAGATTTTTAATTAATTTGGTATTTTTTACTCATTGAAGCAATTTTTGTTTCAAATCACTTGATAATCATGTGACCTGGCGATTTCAGTCACATGTATAAGTGCGCGAGGCATCGGCTACAAAAAAAATGTAGCTTACAACTTAAATTTATTATATTTTAACAAATCACATGAATTATCAGTCAAATAGTTATTCATAGTAATAAGTATTTTGCCTATTAAATTTTATCATATGATGTAATCTACTTTTTTTTGTGGGCGATACTAGGTTCGCGAGTGCGTATATTTTCAAAGATATTAATAATGTGACCTGATAAACAGATATCATTAGAAATTGATCAAAATAATGCAATAACTTTAAATATTCGAAGATTAATTTATTAATATTGTAATATAAATATAAAAAATCATCTGCAAATTTAAATAAATCATGAGAAATTGATTCAAAATGCAACAGACTTATTATCAGTTTGGCAGATATGAAAAATCATTTGAAACCTTAAATAAGTCATCCAAATAATAAAACAACTTTAAATAAGTGTGAGGATTAATTATTAATTAAATAAAAATTATAAAAATATAATTTTTTTTACGAATTTAGCCCAGACCTGGTTAACCTTCCTGATTTAAATTTGTAGCATTCACATGACCTTTCGACATAAGAGATAAATAGGTTAAGATATGATTAAAATTTTAAGAGAATGGCTTTTTGTTTGGCCTATCAGTTTAAAGTGATCTGACGAAATGACAATTACAAAAGTTAGAGCATAATTAATAAGTATCAGGCAATGACTCTGCTTTTTATTATCATTACACAGGTCGAATGAATGAATAAAGGGTGAATAATAGGTAAATAACAGAAAAAAAA